GAAATAGGGTGAATACATCTCATTACAATGATTTACTGGTAGTCTCGAAACCCTACTCAATTACGTATATTAAAGTAGTAAGTACACTTCGTAATTAGCAGTATAACTTTAATAATATCGCCCGTCACTTTTGTTCATTTAGAATGGCACAGGACCCGATGGATTCGGGAAATCGAATTGTCGGTCCTTACATCAATTGAATCTGCTTCATCCCCCTATTTTACATAGAAAATAAGTACAATTATCACTAGTCATTGCAGCTTTATTTCGTTCCTATGTAAAGGCATGTATCCAGCTTCCCTAATTTTCCCCTTTATTTCATTTTTACGGTATGGGGTCTGTCTTTTCGTTGGATTCCAGTCTATTTTGTGGCCAATATGCTTAATGTGTCCACAATTTTCTACCTTTTCTTACCAATGCTCCCACATTTATACCACTGATTATCCTTCCTTCCCTTGCTTTTTCCCCTTCTCTCCTTCTCTGTAATCCTATTTTTCTTCTTCCTTAGTCTTGCTTTACATATCGCAAATCTTCTTCTTGCCCTTATTGCGTATCACTTAAGATAGAGTTACGCCCCATGAAGTTCGTCCTAACAAGTGTTTTTTTCAGCTGACATCGTCCATAAATTCAACTGCTTCTCCATTGGGTGTCTCCTCGCCTGCTGATTGGCTGGAAAGTGTGTGCGCCCAATTTGATTAACTCAGGGGAGCAGGACCAACTGAGTCTTGGGGGCATTCGAAAAAAGGTGGTCATGCGGCAAACATATTAACAGCACGGCGCTGGAAATAAAGAGGCAACATCTGCCAACAAGAGTGAAGACGATTTCCACTGAATGCAAAAGGTGAGGTTTTCCTGGGAAAACGTCTGGATGAGGGCAATGGCTGAGGCCCAGAGCTGTGAAATGAGTGTGTCTTTGTCATGGCAACAACAAGGTGGAGTTTCAAGGCTGACCTGTGGACAGCAGCTGAGGGCGTCCTCCCACCCTCCTACCCCAATTCAACAGGGGCGGAACTTTAATCGAACCTGTGAACTGAACCGGCATGATGGTTTCAATGCCGAGAACGGTAACCACAGGCGTCATGCCCATCGTTTCTGGCCAAAAATTCTCTGCAATATAGTAGCACCATGCGACTAGCCCGTATTCTCTATTTTCTTTCCTACTCATTTCCCAAAGTTAGCTTTGCCTCTTTTGCTCATAGATACAAAGACATCGTTTTTGCAGGTTTGTCTGACTGACAGGAGGCCTAGTAATGTGTCTTCTGCTGTGGGATTCATGATAATTTCAAGCATAGG